AGTTAAGAGTATTTACTTTTTCTAGATTGATCTAGTTATGTCATACTTATTCTTAAACACCTTTGTTGCCTTCTCCATATCTGGGATATAATCTAAGCTCCTTAAGGTCTTTAATGATCTAATCCCTCTCCATCTTCCCTTTCCAATATTATCTTCCTACTTTGCCTCACACTCTTGTTGCCTCTGGATAACATTAAGGTTTGGCCTTCCTCATATTGCCACATCAGAGATCTGATTCTACTCAGATCTCTGCCCTCCTTATACTGAGTACATGCTATAGGACCTATAGGACCTCTTTTGAGGTCCTATAGCATCCTAAGCAGTAAATGCCTCTCACTGTAACGTGTCTTTCTCTGCTATCAATGTATTTACTCTCCAAGTTGGTATCTTTCTTTTTACAACGCACAACTAATTTTTAACTCTAGTTCTCAGCCGCCCACCTTTTTTGTTGAAAATCTCTTTCCTCTTTCTAAAATCCTATGAAAATTCTTTAATTCTATGGCCATCGGGACCCCCGGATAGAAGTGATTCAGAAAAATTGGACTGAATATAAAGTTTAAGAAATAAACTTTATATTTGGTCTTCTCTTTTTGTGTATGTTCAAGCATGATATAATTAGAAACATGTCTAAAAGAGCTCTTTTAATAAATATTAAAACATTCTAGGTGCTAATAAAATTCTGTTCAGTCATCTTCTTTGAATAACTCCCTTGCCCACTGAAGGTAAGATGATCTCCTAATATATGTAAACCAATGCTTAAGGGTAAAAGAACAGTACTCTACTATAAGGTTAGGTTTCCTGAGGTCCAAGGACTCCTGGCTTCAGAGTCCAGGAACCCACTGATGTGATATGTAAAATGTTGTGATTAGGCATGTTATCTGGCGGTGGGGTGGGAGTGGGGGACAAGAGGGAAGGTCCATTGCTTTCAAGTCTCATGGGGCTCCCCTTGAGGTTTTGCAGTTACATGGTAATGCCACATTATATTTCATTCTTGTAATTAATTTCATTCATTATGTCTATGTTATTATTAGCTACGAGAAACCTAAAATTCAGTGTGCCCAGCGCAGTGTTTCCAGTGTGTTCTATAGACTACTTGGATCAGCATCATTTCAGGCACTTGTTAAAATATGCATATCTGGGTTGACATCAGGCAACTTAAATCAGAAACTGGAGGGCATGGGAATCTGCATTTTAAACTTACCAAATGATCTGTAGGCATTCTGGTTTAAGAACCATTATGATAAAACCAAGGAGAAAATTAACTCTTTCAAGTGGAGTTTGAATTAGTCTTTAAAAAAATATATTAATAACTAATAGTACTTACTACCTGCCAGGTGCTGTTGTAAATATATGATTTAACTACTTAAATGGCTTTAACAGCCATGTATTATTCAATGTGAGGAAACTGGGACATGGAAAAGTTAAGTAGACCGAAGACACATTGTAAATGGTAAAACTGAGATTTAAAACTCAGTGTGGCTCCAGAAGTCAAGCTCCTATATTGTTTCTCTTAAGGCAGAACATTTTATTAGTTTAGGATTTTTTGTTTTTAGTTTAAAAAATGTTGATCCTTAATATTTACTATCATTTAAAGCTTCACTTTGCAGCAAATGTAAAAAATCATTGTTTTTCTTCAAAAATGAATAGCTAAAAGAATCAAACATTATCCTGGAATACAGAGCTCAAGTGAACTATGTTAAAAAATACGATATCAGAAAATATCCTAAACAAAATTTAAAACATGTTACCATTTGTTTTGGGTGGTAGTAAATTTTCTATATGGTTTCTGTGTTTCAATAGCAAAATACAAATGTTTTTAAAAGAAAATCCAAAAGGATTTTTAAAAACTCATTTATTGCCTGAAGCAATACTCAGTTTGAATGGTTTGGAACTCTAGTTGAATTGTACATTTTTGGGGGATTATCTACTGTTCAGTGGTATGTGTTCATCTTTGTGACCCCTGAGATCTAAATTATACTGATTTTCACTTTTCATGAATTATTTTGGTAAGTTAACTTTAAAGTAATACAATGTATTACTTTAACATACTAAAATTCTTTTACTTCATATAACCAGCAAGGAAAAATGAGCAACTTCAGCCATTCCTCAGATATATCAAATATTTTTGTGTGTCAGATATGTAAATAGTTGTTAGCTAATTTTTATCTTTAAGATCACAAAAATTATCTTCCAGTTTGCCAAAAGCTTTGATGATAGTTGTAGGTCTGATAAGCAATTAATTTCTACACAGAAATTAAAGGGATATGTTAATTTTATTTAACTCCTTCATAGATAAAGAATATAGATAAGAAACTGTGGCTTAGAGAAATTAACTAGCCCAAAGCTAGTCAGCTGGTTAGTGACAGAGGAAGTTACTGGCTCACTAATTTGTTTTCTTCTACTTAATTTTTAATATTTTATATTTTTGATAGCTGCCCACAGCTTACCACTGACATGAAACTAACAGGTTGTTGATTTATATTGATGCCTGATAGCCAGTAATCTACTTTTTCGGAACTCTTATCCATGAGACTTTCCAGAATTCAAAAAGTGTCTGTGAAAAATGAACACATTGAATTGTTAACAGTTGATTACTCATGTGTTAGGACACTACCCAACACATCTTGGTGCTGTTTAAATGTTTTTAGTAAATGTGAAATTGGATGTAAATATTTAATCCACTTATTTGTAACTTCTTTTGCTATTAATCCACATTAAACAAAGCCACACTTAACATTTATAAAATAGGATAGCACAAAATAGGATAGCACAATTCCAGAATGAATTAATATAGTGTTGTGAGGTCTCTGAAGGAATATCTGATATTTGGAGGAATATAAACAGGTTTAATTTTTTCCACTTTCCTAAATGTAAAGTTTTACTTCCTTTAAAACTTTTTTTCCCTTCACTTTATACATGTCAGGGATTTGACATTGAACATCAAATACTTTCAACTTCTATTTATTTTCTTGCTTTTTATCCTGTCCCAGATTTTCTTTATCCCTTCAGGAGCTCGCCCAATGCTCTTTCTTCCAAACTTAAGATATTCATTCCTCAAGAATTTTTACATATATGACATGACAAAGGTCCTCACAACTCTCTCCTAGGGTTCAATTAATTTGCTCACAGAACTTACACACTCACTTACTTATGTTTACCAGTTTGCTGAAGAATGTGATATATGGAAGAACAGTCAGATAAAGAGATACACAGGATGATGTCTGGGAGGGTCCCAAGTGCAGGAGCTTCTGTCCTGGTGGAGCTGGTGTACATTACCCTCCTGGTACGTGGATGTGTTCACCAACCAGGAAGATCCTGAAACCCATACTACTGGGATTTTATGGAGACTTCCTCACATAAACATAATCAACTATTAACTCCATTTCCAGCCCCTCTCCCCTTCCTGGAGATTGGGTTGTGGAGCTGAAAATTCCAAACTTCTAATCATGGCTTGGTCTTTCTGGTGGCCAGTCCCCCATACTGGAGCCATTCAGGAGCCCATCCAGAGTTGCCTCATAGAACAATAGATGCTTCTAGTCCTCTCATTACTTAGAAATTTACAAAAGTTTTAGGAGCTCTGTGTCAAGGATCACCAGTATATATACTATGATCTCACAGCTCTTAAACACTGTTATAGCTCTTCTTCAAAGCAGGTATAATAATTGTACCACACAAAAAAATTTGTAGATCAAGTAATTAACTCAAAACCACCCTAGTAAGTTAACTCCAACAACTGTACTTTTTATATATCAGAAAAGGAAGTATAGGATAGAGCTCTGAAGCCAGAAAGGCTGGGTTGAAATCCTGGCTCTACCACTTAATGGCTATATGACTTTGAGAAAGTTACTTGTCAGTTTCCTCATCTTTAAAATATGGATAACAGAATTTTTATCACATGAGAGGAAAAAGGAAATAAGTATAAAGTGCTTACAAAAGTACCTTAGCACTCAGTGTTAATTTTATTTCCAACCTACCTCTTTTATTTATAAGAAAATAAAAGATAAAACGATTTGACATATGTGCTACTCTGAGGCATATGTAAGCTAGAAGAGAATGAAGGCTCAAATTAAGCTGGCTTTGGTTCAAATCCCAAGCACGTGTCTTTTAGAAACTTAACCTCAGAATTTCAGCATCTTCATCTCTGCTAGAACAGTATCATCTCACAAAGTTATTATAAAGATTAAATAAGGTGATATACATCTGGCACATAGCAAGTATTTAATTAACCAGCGATCATCTCTGCATCTCTAGCAGCTAGCATGTTTAAAGAAAAAACAGTGACACAGTTAAAACATCTTTGTACTTCCCTTCAGTAGTCCTCCCATTTCATTCCTTGGCATCATCCTAAATATTTCTACATTCACCATCTCAACATCTTTCTCCTACTGTAAACACCAGAGCAATTAAAGAAAAATGTAACATTTTTACCAAGTGAAGTGTATAATAGCAACAGCTGCAAGTCACCAGTACAGAAGAGAAAATGGTATTTTTACCTTACCACATTAAGGACCATTAAAAAATATTCAAAATTAATGTAATTAAGGCACATTTTTCCACTTTTAACCAAAGTTCCTCTTCATTTCTAAGCTTTTGCTACATATAATGTACAAAATCCGTAAGCTAACATTAAACCTATTTATTAACAAGTATCCTGCTCAAGAACTATACTTAGGTAAATGAAATAATGTCAGAACTATTTTATAGGCTATCTTACTAACAAGATGATTGCCAAATGTGGATTCTCTTCAATTTACATGAAGAATTATAAGGCTGTTCTAAGTTTGACTGTTGTTCCATAACTAGATGTGAAATTTTCCTAGGCTACTACCTGACAGAATATCAGAGAACTTTTTTTCACGCACCTGCATATTGTTCCCACAGTTCTTAGTATGACCCTAATAGAAACTGAAGGATAAACTGAGCAATAATGCAAACGAATTTCCCTGTTGACTGAAATTTTTAAAACTTAAGGATTAGGTATTATACATTACTACAATAACTTCACCAGTTAAAAATTCAAATTTATTGATCTAAAATGGCCAAAAAACTTAAAGCAAAAACTTTACTTAAGCTTAATGCTCTTTTTAACCCCTGCACGAATACCAGATAGTTCACCACTATAACGTTGCTCTTCTCTACGAACTTCACGAACCTGGCCTCTTCTACGAATTTTGGCTCTTCTGAACTTCTCCCGGTGTTTCACTCTGGGATTGCGATCGATCTTCTTTCTCCTTGGTGTAAGTCCTCTGTTTTTAGCAATCTGATAGGTAATGCCTCTCTTTGCATTTTGATCTTCAAGAGCTTGTTCTTCAGTACTATTTTCTTCTTTCTTTCTTTTCAACTTTTGCCCATCTTCTATTTCTTTATAGTATTTCAGTGCAGCTTCTTCAAAATCAGAATCATCAGAAAGATCTGTAACAGCAGAGGCGGCAGCAACAGTCTCGGAAACAGATTTTGGTTTGACCTTGGTGGATTTTGCTTTTAGATTCAGTTCTTTCTTTCCAGCATCATCCTTAAGTGTGAGTAGGTGACGAATTTCAGAGGACAGCTTCTGATCCACAACTGAGAGTTTGTTAATCAAAGTTCGGTAGGTAAGGAGCCTTTCTATGACAGGATGTCCGTGTGCAGGGACTCTCCTAGCTTTCAGGATCAAATAAAAACTGATGTTGGAGCAGTAGTTCAAATAGAGGTTGTACTTGGTCCTCAGGTATTGGCTTCCTTTTCCAGGTGGAATGATCCCTTGCTCCACCAACTGTAACAATGGCTCCAGCTCATCCCTCACCTCTGTCAACTTAACTTTCAGGTCTTCTATCAGCTCCAAGAGCTCTGGTGATTCCTTCTTCAGCATCTTTAGTTTCTCTTTCACGGAAACTTTCGCCAAATCCTTCACGACTCGTGTCTCAGCCTCATCTACCCGAGGCACCGATTTTGCAAAGGCCTCCACCCAGGTGACCCCAAAATCATCCTCTTGCAGTGCTTGGGCTAGGCGCCGCTGAATGAGCTGTGCCTCCTCCTCCTCCTCTTTTTCCTCATCCTCTACTTCTTGTTGACTCTGCCGGCTTCGGGACTTGGAACCATAGTCCGTGTCATAGTAAAGTTTTTTCCTCTGACCCCACGACAAACTGGGATCCACAGAGGCCTCGGCCTCACTCTGCACGGAGCTGCCATCATCGTCCTCTTCGTCCTCCTCATCCCCCGCACTCACTCCATCTTCATCGTCCTCCTCAGCAATATCTAGGGCTAGCACCTCTTCCTCCTCATCATCGCCATCCGCCTCCTCATCCCCACTCTCTATTTCGCTCCAGCCTTTAGCCAAGGCAGCTCGAGATTGGGCCTCATGGAAATCATCTACCTTATCCTGGTAGTAGCTGGAGTCCCTTGGTGAGGGTGGCAATTCTAAATCGTCTTCCTTTTCGTCCGCTGGGCCGCGACCTGCCTTGGCTCGCACAGCTGCCCACTTGGCCGCTCCGCGCCTCCGGGATCTCCCCACCATAGCTCACAGTCTCCGGTTCTACACCAAGGTCGGGCTTTCGGCCACCTCTGTCTTCCGCGCGAGAGCCACGCGCTTCAGCAACGCGCCTCTTGAAACAGCCACGCGCTCTCGTACCACACGAGTTTGCCGGCGCTCCGGTCGCCTGCAGAAGCTTCTACCTCCTTCCGGCCCCCAGGATGCTCTCCGCGGCGTGTGAACCAAGACTTCCGCTCGGCCCCGCAGGCTTACTCACATTAAGAGCACCTCCTTTTCGCTTTGTCCTTTAACGCCGATCGATTCCGGTAAATTAAAATCCTTCCGTGTAGGAACAATAAGGGCGGAAGGTAAGTTCCGTCGCGTCTTTCGGAGAGACTTCCGTTCTTAGTCTCGCGAGCCTGAGCGGTATCTTGACGGAACAGCGAGGCTAAGTCTCCCGGGACCAGTAGAGGGCGCTCTGCCTCTGTGCCTAGGAGAGACCGCGGGTCTGTGCAGTGAGCTGTACTGCGCATGTACCAGGCCTTTCCGACCGTGAACCGTTCGCTGGTGTAGAAGGTTTCTCTGTTTCCTGGAATAGTTTTCTCTTCTGCGCCTGTGTGTGGCAGTTAATTAGGTTTTGTTTTTTTTTTTCTTCGCAACGCCAAGGGCGCCACGGGTGCCTTTGGACTAGAGAATCCTGGTGTCGGCGTGCGGCGACAGCGCAGCTCGGGCCTCGGGGCGGGTGTGGCCGCAGGTTTCTAGCTGCCCGCCCTCGGCGGTTCTGCGGGACTTTCTGTCTCCGAGAGGTGACAGTGGGAAGACAGAGCCCCACTCTAAGGTCTGACTTTTCCAAGAAACTCAAATTCCCCGCAGAGGGCACCGCGATTTGTCTTCGTTTTAGTAGAGAAGGTTTATTCTTCAAGATACTTTGGAAATGCCACATTTTAACTCAGGGGTGTACCCTTAAAAATTTGTTTTTCAACATTTAAGCACAGGCAGCTTGATAAACTCTGGGAGAACAATGGCGGGCAAAAGCAGACCTGCACTCATGGGACTTGTGGTCTAGCGGGAGACAAGCGTTAATGAAGTAACCATGCAAAACATGCCAAATTATAACTGAACATTTGTCTTGTATTACCCAGATTTCATCTGCTGAAAACACCCAGCATACTTTTTATATCGTTTTTCTTTTTCTTTTTTTTTTAATCGATGCCAACCTCCTTAGATTTAGTACTCTCCCCACCTTGGGAAACTTCTACGGTATTGAAAAGATAACTTACGCATCACTTCTTTGATATCTTTAACTCCCTTGTCTTTTCTTCAGTTCTGTAGCACCTAGTAGACCTCTACAAACACTGATATTGCAAGCACCCAGTGCAGTTTCTGGCACAGAGTAAGTGTTCAAGATTTGTTCAATGAATAAGTATTGAAATTACAGTATTTGATTATCCGTCCGTCTCAGGTGCTACATAAAAGAGAGTGAATGAATGATGCATAAGGCTGCAAACATCCATCCCTAAGGGAGATAACCTGAGCTGGAATGGATTTTAGGAATCATTAATTCCAGCGCCATACTTTTATTTTACACATGTAGAAACAGACCTGGGAAGATTTCATTAGTAAATCTGGCATAGAAACCAGGCACAGGGCACCCATACCAGACTTTCACAGTCAGCTGTTACCAGTCCTTTGCTTTTTCAGTGTGAATGAGTTTCAGATCTTTTCCAGTGGATAAGTTTTGCTGGGTAGATGAAAGAAATCAAGAGGACAGATTAAAGTGTTTGAAGAAAAGGATGGTAATAAGGGAAGAATTAGTCAAACTTGTCTTTGTAAGTACTACTAGAGCTAGAATTATGAAAAGACTGCCTTATATATAAACTTAGAAAAGTTAAAGATTTAAGTTTTCAAGACATTACATATGGTAGGTTCAGAATTAGTATTACTATGATACCTTCAAATGTAGGTTGTCGGAAGCTGAACTTTTGGTATGTTGCTAAAATTAATGATGACAAATATTTTTGCAGAAAGTATAAGTGTCATTAGGTTAAGAAAAATAATACAAATTTTTAGAAATGCTATTTCTAACAACATTTTCAAAGTGTTAAAAGTTACCTTATGCATTTGAAAACCTTTACAATATTAGAAAACAATTTTAAGAATAAAAAAGATGGGTAAAAATCTTATATTCTGAATTTTTAGCACAATTTGTTTTTGAATGTAAATGTGAATAGATTTTGCCATTCAACAAATATTAACTACTTTCTAACTGTAGCAGAATGCTACATGGTGTAATAGATACAAAGGTGAATTAGCCTGTATCTTCCCTCAAAGAGCTTATAATCAGGAAGACAAGATGTGTACACATTACTAAAATACAAGGTAGTATGTGATATAAACCTACTGTATGAGATTAGAGGGATGAGAGATCACCTCTGGATTGTTTTTCTAGAAACAGTGCTTAAATAATGGTGCATTTATGCTGGAACTGTAATTAGATCCTTGCTTTATATGTAGTATTGAATTTTCATTATGTCTAAATATTAAGTTTTATTTAGACACATAAAACAGTCCCAATTTTTCCGTTTATTTTTATTGAAAATAAAAAATACTTCATACTTCAGAACCAAAATGTATATATTATTATAGAGAAGTTAGAAAAATATTTTGGATGTTTTTAATGGTAATGATCACATTGCTCTAATATTACTTAGTTTATACTACATATTACATTAACTATTTAGAGTTGCACTATCCAGTGCATATTCAGAGTGTTGTATTCTAATGTTCTCAGATTTTTGATAAAGAACAGTTGAAGCCTATTTTTTAATTCCAGCAGCTCCCATAGACTAATCTTCCATAGTCTAATCTTATCATTATATACCACTTAGATGAGTTTTTTCCTTAAAATTTTGTATTGCTGTAAAGACAGATTAATAACTATTATATCATAAACCTATGCCAATTAAAAAGAAAAACACTGAGTCCCCAGAGAAAATGAACAAATATTAAATAACATTTGATATTTAACTGTTATATTTGTGGCAACCATAATTTGTCATCAACTTGAATCCTTATTACATTATTGTTATACCAGGTTTAGGAGTTAGCAAGCTACACATAATGAGGGCCAATAGTTTTTTTTAGAAAAAGAATATCCTTTTGCCTAAGCCGTATATGGAATTTTCTGACTGTGGAAGGTAGGAGTTTGTGAATGACACACTAAGTGATATTAGGATACTTTCTTCAGGGCATGAGTTCTGGGTCTTGAAGGTATTCTACAATCAGATTAGCTTAAATCGATCTCACTTCTTTTTGAACTGTTGTAGCAATAATAATAATAGCTAACATTGGGAGCAGTCATTATGTACAGGTACTGTTATAAGCTCTTGACACTCAACCCTTTGAGGAAGATACTATAGTAATCTCTTATTTAAGGCTAGGAAATGGTAGAACTAGTTTTGAACCCAAACAGTCTGGCTTCAGAATCCACTGTACTAACTACTAACTACTGTACCGTACTGGCTATGAAATATTCCCTTACTAGGTCTTCTCATTTCCAGTCTCTGCTGTACATTTGATTCAGTATCATCAGATATATCTTACTAGAGAATAATTTCCATCATCCCACAGCTCGTTCATAAGCTTTCAATGATTCTCAATTACAATTAAGATAAAGTTCACAACATACACGGCCCTCCCAGATTTGTCTCGAAGCAACCTTTCCAGCCATACCCTTCATTGTCCCCCTCCCATTGTAAGTGCTCTACCACTCTTTATTCTCCAAACTGCTTTGCAATTTCCTCCTTTGTCTCTTTGCTTGTATTTTCAGTGTTCTCATAATTACCTATATCAGAAATTTATAAATCATGACAGACATCTTTTTGGTTAACAAAGAAATTCTCACACAGGTCCATAATGGTACCCGTATGAAGCTGTTTGAAAAGCCACTATTGACAGAGAGTTGGAGATAACCCGATGCTCGTTCCTGGAAGAGTAGATCAATAAAATGTCACGGATGAACAGCATAGAATTTAGGAGCATATAGTGACCATACATCTTGGTTTGCTTGGTATAGCCCTTATTAACCTTTTATTCCAGTGTAATTACTCTTTAAATGATTTAGATGATAAATTATATGGTCATCTTAATGACACAGTAATTGGAAACAGTACGTTATATACTCAGGGCAATATGGATGGTTCTTAAAAACAATATGCTTAGGGAAAAAAATAAAAAATAATAAAAAAAATAAAAAAATAAAAAATGTAATATAATACCACTCATAAATACAATAATACACCTTTTTGTAAGAACATATGCAAACAAAATAGTGTCCATTAAATACAAAATAAATAATTGCTTATGGAGGGGCAAAAAGAATGGGATGAGGCTTGGAGATGAGAAGGAGTAGGAGAGGAACCTGCCATGGACCAATAACAAGAATGTGCCCAGAACTGAGGAGTATTATTAACTATTTGCATCTGAGGTTCAATTACAAAACAAATAAGCAGACAAAAACAAAAAACGACCATATAGGTCCCTAACTTAAAGTTCTTTAAAAGCTTCTCAGCATCTATAGGATCAAGTTCACATTCCTTATAACCTGACTCTTGCCTACATCTTTAACTTCACATCTTTACTTTAACTTCACATCTCCTCCCTCTCGCTCACTCGCTCTCTCGCTCTCTCTTTCTCTCTCTCCCTCCCAACTTCCCTCCCTCTCTCCCTCCCACCGTCCCTCTCCCTCTCTGTATGTATGTGTGTATGTATATCTATCTATATATATACCTCCATATATATATATCTATATCTATAGATATATATATAGGCTAAGATCGGAAGCCTTTATTTTGTAGAGAATGAGGGCTGGCTAAAAAATTATGTGAACTGTGTTTCAGAAGACCTTCACTATCCAAGCTATAATTATCATTGAATCAATAGTTAATATATAAATTATTATATCTACAGGGTTCCTCATGAATCTTGTGCTGGCTGTGCTCTTTCTTGCATCATTTCTTTTGCACATGTTTCTGCCTTCTAGAGAATTCTTATTCATTGTTTAAGACTAATTTTAAAAGTCACCTTAAAAGCCTTTCCTGGCCTCTTCAGACAGGGTGAAGAACTTCCTCTTTTGCGTTCCCATGTTTCATACATATCTCTATATTTACTGCTATCTTTCTACTAAGTCTATGAGCCCTGTTAAGTCTGGATCCAAATAGTCATTTTTTAAATCCTAGAATCTAGGTCAGTGTCAGCATATCAAAATAGTAGCCTTTAACAATGAATTGCAGTGTCTTTTATGTTTCTTTAGCCATTAACACAGTTTTTTAAAATTTGAAAGTGAAGTAACATTTAAAAGATGAAAAATTTAATATATGGCTTTTGTGAACTTAAGCTAAGTTAAGTGTGTACTTACTTTTTACCCTAGCATTGCAGACTATGTTTTGATGACTGAAGTTATCTAAGAAGTAGCTTTTTTTTTTTTTTTTTTAATGCACAGAGAAGTAGTAGCAGTAAAAAATAATTTGATAGGAGAGTAATAATGAGAAAATGTATTCTTGGTGTTAATTGCTATCGACTTATTTAGATAGTTTAATATAATCACAGAAACTCCTTGAACTATTTTCGGGTGCAAAAAAAGAAAGAAGGATTATTTTTAGGTGTAAGAGAAAATGGAAGAGATGAAGTATAGTTGCCATCTGTTTTTATTTCTGTTGGAAACCACTTACTCTGAAACCAGTAGGTTTTAGATTCTTTTTGCAACTAAGGTCTTCTTTTTGCAACTAAGGTCTATATGTATTTAAAGATTCAAAAATCCTAAAAATGACTTGGAAGTAAAATATAGAACTTCTACTGAAATATACGAAAAATATATGAACGCTTCTAAGTTTTTAATTAAAAATGACTTGGTTTGGTAGCTTTAATTACAAAATGAAGAATTTAATGAAATTTTGAAGCTTATTGCCCTTTCAAACTCTAATCCAATGAAATACTGTGCAATTATTTTTGTAACATTATTTTAATTGTTTTTTATTTTTTCTAGTATGAGGAACCTTACAGGTACAATTATTTATATATTAACTATTGATTCAATGGTAATTTTAGCTTTGAAAGTGAAGGTCTTTTGAAACACAATGCATGTACATTTTTTTGTTTTAGTTACTTACTCCTCATTCTCTACAGCATGAAGTCCTTAGCTCTTAGCCTAATATTATGGGTCTGCTTTTATCTGGCCCCAACTTATTTTTCCAGCTGCTTTCCTACTATTTTCCTTGAGGAATTCTATATTTTAGCTAAACTACAATACTCCTTGTTCTTCTCTTTCTGAGATTTCTTTCTCTTGGCCTTTGCTTAGACCCTCCCCTCCATCTCTGTTCATAGATGGCCTTCAAA